CACTGCCTCTGAAGGGGCTCAGTCAGCAGCTGAGGATTCTCAGTGAAGGGCCCAGATGACAGGGGTGGGGCCTTTTTCCAGAGAGGGACGGTCTCTGTGACCACCTGGCCCTGGCAGGCCTTCTTGTCCATTTTTGGACCTCATACGTGAGGGCCAGCCTGGCGAGGCCCAAGACGCCCCTCTGAGAATCATGTTGGTTTTCACTCAAAGAGGAAGGAAATGCTAACTTGCACTTAGGAGTTAGATCCCAAAGTGTCAAGTTAGGGAGCCTTGCTTCCAGCCTCCCCTGTGGAAAGGTTTCAGGTCTTTCTGTTCCTGTGGACTGAACCATCACAGAACCCAGGGGAAGGAGGAGGGGAAGGGAAGAAGCCTTTCTTCCCACCTACAATGGGCCAGGCACTATGCTGAAATAATTTACAAGTCGCTCGTTTGAGCTTCACCACAGCCCTAGAAGGCAGGTTCTGTTCTTAGCCCCATTTTACTGTTGAGCAAATTCAGGCAGAGAGGTGATACGGCTTACCCTCCGTCCCACGTCTAGCAAGTGCCTGAGGCCAACTCTGATCTCAGAGCTGTATTAAATGCTGGTGTTTTGGACGGAAGAGATGATGTATTCAACCAAGCAGTGAGAAAATGGCCCTGCCTGTCCCTCTGCACATTTTCTTTCCCCAGTTGGACATTTAAATGAAATTTTCTCTTTTTTTGTCAGGTGATAACCCCCCTCTCCTTCACTCCCCTAATGGAAACACCCGCTTGCACAAACCTACTGGATTGAACACACCATCTACACCTGCTGTCTGATCACGTGCACTTAAGTCAATTTCGATGAAGAACTAGACTATGTCACCCATTTGTTATCACGCCCATCCATCACCCCATTTTTGAGTGCAAGCCCTCCCTTATAATGAATCAATCTAGCCTCAAAGCCCCAATCCACATGTTGGCAAGTCAGGCCTTGGGCAAGCTACCACCTTTCAGGAGGCCCCAGGCCAGGGGCCTCAACGTCCAATGGAAAAGGTTCCCTGAGGGCCAAATTGACTTAGAAAGGCAGAAATGAGGATTATCTACTTTGAAGTCTGTTGTTTATTTTGCTCAGCATTTCCCAATTCCATTTGAATCTGCTTTGGGCTTCCCCCACCTCAGGGGAGTGTTCCACCTGTGCTCCAAGCAAATCTCTAAGACTCTAAATGCAGAGAAAGTGCTGGCCTCCAGAGGGAGGAGTAAGGGAGAGTTTTCTCCCCTGGACAAGGAGATCACAGCTCCAGTCCTTAACCCAGCTTTCCTGGAGAGCTTCCTTTGCTTTATCTGAAAACTGCCTCTTCATCTCCTTTTGCCTCTCTTCCAGGAGATCAGGTCTTTCCTGCCCTCCCTCACCTCATGGCAATGGAGGCTGAGTAGCTACTTCCACTAAAGGCTCCACCCCAGCCCCATGGCTCTGCTTTCACTAGGAGGACAGATGCGGGGTGGGGAGAGGTCTCCCAGGGTAGGCTTTCTCCCCGCCTCTTCCTGCCTTGCTCCACAGAAATTATGGTTATCCCCACCCAACTCTGATGGCTAAGGTTTCCTTACAGTGAAGGGGGTGGAAGAAATGTTGTTTGAAAAGGTCAAGGATGGAGGGGAGTTGGTAGGCTACAGAGCAGGGCTTCCAGAAGAGCAGCAGCAATGGGCCACATGATGGCCTAGAAGGGTTGCAGTAACTCAGAAATAGAGGAAGAGGAGGAGGAGGAAGCAGCATTAGGCTGGCCTTTCCACCCAGTGCTGGGAGAATGGCTGGCCGAAACCAGGGAACCAGGGCAACGGGGAATAGCCAGACCCACACAAAGAGGAGAGGACAGGGGACCTCATTCAGGCCTTAGTGTCAGCTGCTTTGATGGTCCTGGTACAGAGCTGAAGCCAGGTCGGGGAATGAGAATTGGGGAGCAGCGAAAGAACAAACAAAGGAGACAAAGGAGTGGCCTGACTCTTCCTTTCAGGTGACCTCCTCAGTCTGGTTTCTCCCATCCTCCCTCTTCCTCCTTTGGAGAGGTGATCAAGGAACTCCCCGTTTGCAGAGGCCCAGCCCAGGCTCCATGTCTGGATAGTGCCCTCAATCTCTGCGCTTCCTCGCTCCCTGAATCCAATGTCCCTCTGCACCAGTATGCATACACTCGCCTTTAGTGACCCTATGTCCCTGCTGTCCTTCCCAAGGTCCCGCAGCCACTTCCAAGATCACTCGAGGCAGCAAGAGAAGCTGCCTTCCAGTGACCTAAAATGATTACCTGTTCTCAAGTGCATAAGAAAAAGGGGCATGTGGCTGTGAGGAAATCAGCACGCCTTATAATGAAGCAGAAGAAGCAGGCCAAGAAGCAGGTGGTTAAAGAGGAGCATCAGATCGCAGCTGAGGCCGAGAAGAAAGCAAAAGTCCAGAAGAAGAAGTCGACCGCGGGGGAGGTAAAAGCCAAGCGTCCTGCGGTGGGCCCCCGTGGCAATACTGGCCGCCGTGGCCAAGCTGGCCCCCGGGGCCTTGCTGGCCAAGCCTTGCCCTCTGACCAAGCTGGTCCCCACTCAGCTCAACCACCTGTGAGGCTCCCACGAGGCAAGAAAGGTATGCAGAAGTACGACCAGAGAGGCAGGCTGAATCTGAATGGAGAAGACCTCTGTGACTGCCTGGAACAAGATTGCCTGGGCTGCTTCTACCCATGCCCAAAATGCCAGTCCACCAAGTGTGGGCCCACCTGCCGCCGCAACCGGAAGTGGATTTACGAGGCCATTGCCAACGAGGGCGGAGATGTAGTTAGCACCTTCCCATTTCCCCATGCTAAGTAAGGGCCTGAGCTCCACGTGGCTGTGTGTCTCTCTGTGTCTGTGTGTCTCTGTGTGCCTCTGTTCCTGGCTGAGCATCCCTGCCTGGAGAGGCAGCTGGCCTGGCAATCCTGACTTCTGTTCCTCCGCAGCAGTATTGCCATGAGCACCCCGGGAGCTTGCCCTCCCTCTTCTCCCAAATGCCTGCACTCTGATCCTAGGGGTAGGTAAAAATGCAGGTGAAAACCAAGAGGGCTTCCACCTATAGGGGACCGTAAGCGGCCATCTTGCCTGAGATTTCCTGCCGACGTCTCTCCTAAAGCTAAGTCTTTTGGAACTTGGGAATTTCCTTCCACTGAAGGTGGAATGTGGTTCCCGCCCTGCCCCCCTTCCAGCTGCCGCCATCCCTAGAGCCAGGCCAGAATACTCCAGGTTCCTAAAACTCCTTCCTGTTTCAGTTAGTGCTAGATATACAAACAGAAAAAGAACAAAGAAAAAAGGGATCTTTCTCCCACTTGTCATATGCTTGTTCTCACATCTAGATGGTCATGTAGGTGTCTGTCCCATGTTGTGTCTGTGATGTTTTCTACATGGTTCCGTGGTTCTAGAGTTGGACTTTCTGACAACTACCACTTGCCTAATGACTTTTTTGCTCTCATCTTGTTGCAGGTATTAAAGGAGTCTGGATTCTCCTGGGACTCTTCTCACAGTCTCCCTTCTGCAGGTTATGATTGTTTTGACATTCCACAACAGCAGAATATGTATTGTTAAAGTGAAAGCAGATAAAAAAGAATACAAAGAAGTTTGCGAAGTTAATTTATCGTTGCCTTCATTTCAGAACAACAGGGAGTGACGAGGCTTCACCCTGTCTGTGCAAGGCACTGTGCTGATCACTGGGGACCCACGGGCAAAGCTCAAGCAGTCCCTGGCCTCAAGGAGTTTTCTTTCAGCCCATGTAGGCACCTGGTAGATGGAGAAGGGTGCTCCAACAGTGGTCCTCTGGAGACGCCTCTCCTGTGGCCCAGCATGCCCAGCTACACCTCTCTGGTTATTCCCCTGAAACAATGTTAGAGAGTGCTAGGATCTCAATTCCTCCCCAAGGCTGACACAGACACAGACAGACAGACAGGCAGACACACACACACACACACACACACACACACACACACGCGCCCGCACACACACACAGAGAAAGGGGGGTGAGGGAGAAGAAGGGGAATAGCACAGATCCATGGGGATGCACAAAAGGGAGAGAGAGGTAAGGGGCTTAGTGAGCTGGCCAGAGTCCATGAAGCGGCAAAACAGGGTGGGCAAGGGCCTGAAGCCTTGTCTTGTGCATATGGGGACAGTGACCCTGGAGAAAGGTCAAGCAGTGGGACCTGCTCACCCGCTTCCAGGTGAGGATGGGCAGCTCTCATTGGAGGGCTGGCTTGTGGGAGAAGAATGATCCTTGTTTCCTTTGACCTCAGGGAGTCAAGCAGGTGAGATGGCTGGAAATTGCAAGGGGGAATTTGGCGTCCATGGAAGTGGAAGGGGTGGTCCCTGGAACTGGCTAGTTCCTGCACAATGCAAGTTTTCACGCCCGGTGGGATGCATGATGCATGCTTCTATCCAATTTACCTTTAAGGCAGAGAAAGTACTTGCTTACACCCTTTCCTCAATGACTAAACGCTTAAACCTCTCCACACGTGCAATCCAACTTTATTAGTCAAATACAGGAAATTATACGAACAACAGCCAAGTCTCAGAAGGAACCATGAGCCTGCTTCCTAGAAGTTGCGGTAAGTATCTTTTCCACTGGTGGTCATGGCAAGGTACCCTACCAAGCTGCAGAAAGGCTTCAGGGACCAGCCCAGCTATGAGCTGTGTGGTTACTGTGGAAGGAACAGTCAAGGTGCCTGCTGAGAGGACAACGCAGCAGCTCCCAGTGGGTAATGGGAGGGTGGGAGAGGAGGAATGGGAAAGCGACCAGGGGAGCTTGTGTGTGTCTGTGCGTGTGCCCACGCACATGTGTGTGCACCTGTGTGGGCCACAACTACTCTCAAAGGCTAGAAAGGGGGACTTAGAAGACATGTTTTTTCAGGAACATCGTTTTTCCCCAAGCCAGTCCAGACTGATGTGTTATTGCTAGGTTTTCTAAAATAATTATTCTTTCCTTCTCTGTCTGTCTTTGACTCTGTCTCTTTCGGTCTCAATATCTGTCTCTCTGTCTCTGTCTCTCTTTGACTCTGCCTCTGTCTTAATGTCTCTCTGTCTATCTGTCTGTCTATCGCTCTTCACTACCACTCTCAAATTCCATCTGCTAAGCATGGAGAGAGTGTGTGATCGTGAACCTGTCACAGACCTGATTATATATACATGTAGTTATACATACATACGCGCACATGTCTTAGCCCCCACCACACTCGACCCGCAGGTTGTCAGGAGGCCACTTCAGGGCAGAGACTGTGCCTCATTTCACTTCCTCACCTTACCCAACAGCAGGCCAGTGACCTGCACATCCCAGCCTGGTAGCTGACCACATGACCGTTGAATTGACCTCGCTTACCCAATCCCTCCTTTGCTCTAAAGCCCCTCACCCTTTCTGTTCTACACTGGTTTGCACTCGTTCCATCATGCCACAAAAGGGTCTCTGAGTCCCAAGCCCTGTGTGACTTGTGTCGCCCACAATAGACTGCAGGCATTTTGAGAACCAGTCCATGGGGATTTCCCACACACTTCCCTGGCCTGTTACTCTACAAGGCATAGTCTCAGGGAGTCGCCTGGGTCTCTAAGACGTCATGTGACTTGCTCCAGGCACCTCAGTGACTTTGTCCTCCATGGCCGGACTACTTTGGCATTTAGGATTTCTGGTCTTCATTCGGGACTAGGCCATGTCTAAAGCGGCCAGTTCCAATGAAGACCCTCAGTGGGAAAGAACCTCTTGCTGTTCTGGAATTGTGCTTCCGTTTACACCGCTGATGAGACTCCACACAGATTTGCTTAAACTGTGTGCCCTGCCCACAGCCCCATTGCCTTGCATCTCTCATTAGGGAAGAGGCCACAAGCTACCATCATTTGCTCCCGGCATGGTCCTCGCCTAGGTAGAAGATTCACTGAAATCATTCCTACGAATCCCTTTCACGCACACTGGCAAACTCTCCTACACGCTGGATGCTGAAGCCTTCCAACAAAGCAGGGAGGTAGCATTCAGGTGGGACACCTTGGGATGACTTGGGATCCCTCTGACACTGCAATCAGGCTTGCCACCACGAGGACAACTCTCCTAGGGTAAGACACAGAGATAACTATTATGTTGAAAATCTACCTGATTAGTGGCCTAGAGACATGTATAAGAAAAGAGCTGGCTGGGGATTGCAGGCAAAACAGCGTTTCCATTTGGGGGAGATCAGTGGGGAGGAGGTAAGGTTCGAATGGGACTTTGGAGGTAAGAATTGAATTGAACAGGTGAAGGGAGGAGAGGGCACTGCAGGGAGGGGGTGTGTGTGTGGAACGAATCCAGGCATGGAGAACGATATGAGCAAAGGCAGAGAGGAGGTGGGAAAGGGTAGAGGGGTTCCAAGAAAAAAAAGGAGTCCAGCTTGGCTGAAGCCTGGGTTAGCTTGGTGGAAAGTGGCCTGAGATAAGACAGGAAAGATAAGGGAGTGCCAGATTGTAGAGGCCTTGAATGTCGGGAAAGAAGGTAACCCTTCTTTGACTCGATTGGCAATAGGGAACCGTGGAAGGTTTTTGAGCAGAGCAAAACCACAACCAGATGTATGAACAATGAAGATGAGTCTGGCATTGGCATGCAAGATGCGTTGGATGGGGGAGAGTGTGGACTATTGCAGTAGTCCATGAGGAGCACAAAGAGAAGATGCACAGTCACAGCAGGAACAGAGAGGAGGACACACATGCAAGATGCCTAGTCCAGGGAGGAGGGAACAGTCAGAGTTGGTAAGTGAAGGGGATGTGAGAAGTGAGAGAGGAGGGAGCTTGTTAAGGCTTTGAACAGGGGACATTGGAAGGAATAGTGAAGTGAGAGGACGCAGCTGCTCTGTGGGAAAGACCCTGGGCTCATAGTTATGTGATGATGCCCTGAAAACTGTTGGCCTTGTGGGGCTGGAGCTGTGAAGAGAACTCATCTGTGGGGAGGTGCTAGGTGAAGCTGCTAAAGGAGTGGAGAAGATCCTCAAGGGATTCTCAAGGGAGGCTAGAGGCAACATCTTAGGAGGTCTGGGAGAGGATGATTAGCCCTACAAAGAAACCGAGAAGCCTCCATTGGTGAGTGGTAGGTTGAGAACCAGGAGAAGGTTTTGTCTATAAGGCCAAGGGATGAAGAGATGGTCAGGGGTGTCCGATGCTGCAGAGGGGCCGCGGAGAATGGGGACTGAGAAAAAAGTCAGTTTATGGGGATTCGGAAAACTACGGAGATCCGCCTATAACCTGATGCAGAGGGAAGTGAGGAGAACTAGGGGAGCAGTGTGATAGCTTAACACAATACTTATCGTCGGAGAGGTCTGAAAGACTTCAGAGCTGTGACTAAGGCAAGGATCGATTCTGAACCAGTTATGGTTTCCTGGACGGGGCTTCCGGATGTCTCCAAAGTGTTTACGTGTTGTTTCTGACGGTAGATATTTTGTGGGATTGTGGGACAGGAGGGGAGCTATGTTGACGGGTAATCATAGACAGGTAGAAAATTATATGTTATTCATAGAAATAAATGAATTTGACTGTAAATTATTAGGAATCAAGTTTAGGAGGTGGTATTCATTATCAGGTTTTCAAGAAAACACTTATTTTATCTACAAAGAGGAGACCATATAGATCAGTTTTCCTGATTTTTAACACTCTCTTCTGCTTTTTCCTTTTTTTTTCTCTTGTAAAATATTATTTCTTTGGGAATACTTATCTGGGAGGCCAGAGGGGAAGAGGCATTGGGAGCAAGATTGGTGCTGTAAAAGCAAAAAGAAGCAGTTCAGTTTATTATTGTTTTAAAGATCGGGCCATTAGCTTTAGTGACTAGCAGGTCATCAGTGACTTCAAAAAAGCAGTTTCTATAGCTCTTTGAGAGAGGAACCTAGAGGAGAGAGGGGGGTTAGCAAATGGAAACATTGATGGAAGCCAACCTTTCGGGAAAGTTTAAAAATGAAAGGGAAGAGGGATGTGGAATGGTAGAATGGTCAAGGAAGGAGTGTCTAGGCCATCTGCAGTAGATACAGTTTTAGATAGTCTTTGCTTTAAGAAATATCCAGCTAATGTTTGTCTACAAGGTGTCTACTTCAGAAATACATTTGGCTGAATTCAGGTTAAAATCTCATGCAAAGCACTTTGGATTTGAATTCTCCTGGCTTGCCCAGACAGAGGAACCACTGAAGCAAATGTGTTGCTCATAGCATCAGGGTGACATAAAGGAAGCAGCTTGTGAATAGGATAACCTTCTGCTGTGGACGGAGACTGAACTGGGTGTCCGTCCCATGTTCCTGGACTCTCAGCATCTTGGGGCTAATTATATAGTAATACAGTCTTTACTCATGACTTCCACTTATAGACATTCTGGTCCAATTTGCCACCATTACTGTGGATATATCCAGGGGTGTGCTGGAGCGCATTTTAAATTTTCATTTGAATATTGCTACCTTGCAAATTGGCAAACACTACAAACCAGGGCACTATTTCTTGCTTTTTTCACGGTCGAGGCTAAAGAGAGTAAAGGGAAATATGTTAGTAATACAAGTTAAATCTAAAACTGGGTTCTGTGCACATCTCCCCCACACACCTGGAGAGCTGGTTGTTAAATATTTACCACCATAACCCTGGATACATCTACTCACTGGAAGATAGCAGAAAACACAGAAGTTGGAAGGTGGAGTATATGGGAGCTGGTCGTTTATAGGATCCTATTTGTTGTTGAATCCTTTCAGTCGCGTCCGACTCTCCGTGAGCCCACCTGGGGTGTACTTGGCAGAGATAGTGGAATGGTTGGCCATTTTCTTCTCCAGCTCATTTTACAGATGAAGAAACTAAGGTAAACACGGTTAAGGGACTTGCCCAGGGTCACACTGCTAGTAGGTGCCTGAGGCTGGATTTGAACCAAGGAAGATGTCTCCTCCTAACTCCAGACTCAACACTCTTATCTACCACAACCCTACCTGGCTTTTCATACGGCCACATCAGTCCCTGAATAATGCTAGAGACTCACCAGAGAGGGAAGGAGAATAGTTTTGACTGGTTACAGGCTGAGAGGTGAGTCTTCTATGTTTTTTGTGGGGTTGCATAAAATCCATCCTATGTGCAATGTATTCTTAGCCTCAGTACTTGCAAGGGACCAGAGGGTTCTTTAAGTGTCCTTCAGTGACCCAGGCATGACTCAAACACTGATGTTCCCACAGAGAAGCCAAACAAAGCGGGATTAGCGAGAAGCCCTCCAGAGGGAATGCTGTCCCTTTTAAGCCCAGACTTTCAGCTAAGGGCCACGTGTTGACATGTCTGTGTTCCAAAATGTACTTCTTTCTTATAGGGTGAAAAAGGAACTCCCCTTTTTAGCTTTGAAAATCCTTCACAAAGTGGCCCCAACCTGCCTCTGCAGCTCCATTGGACATCCCTTCCCTTCTTGCACCCTTTGTTCCGCCAAACAGGCCCCCTCACTCACAAGACCCCATCTCCCACCTCCATGCCTTTGCACTGGCTGTCCCCCCCGCCTGAAGTGCCCTCCCCATGAAGCCTTTCCTGATTCCCACCCCCCACCTGCGAGTTCCCTCTTTCCCCAACTACTATATATGTATGTATGTGTATATATGTATTTATACTCTTTGTAGTTATACTGTAGATATTGTTGTTATTATTATAAGTATTTTGTCATCCCTTTTGGAGTGTTATCATTTTTTTCTGTAGGGATGCTGACCTCTGCAATAGCAGAGCTTAGCACAGTACCTGGAACCCAGTAGGTGCTTCATGAGGACTTGCTGATTGATTGTAGAAAAGAAGACAGTCTTACTTGATTACGAAAGGGAAGACATGACTATAAAGTTTCGTCCTTTCGAAAGAGTATAATTGTGTTCAGAAGTCATGGCATTTACAGCCAGAAGGGCTCCTTCCATAGGCAAAGGCTCTCATTTGAAAGGTGAGGAAACTGAAGCTCATTAAAAAATTAAAAAGGTCTACAGCATTTTTTCATATGACTATAGATGGTTTTAATTTCTTCATCTGACAGGTGTCTGTTCACATCCTTTGACTATTTATCAATTGGGGAATGGCTTGTGTTCTTATAAATTTGTCTTAATTCTCTATATATTTTAGAAATGAGGCCTTTATCAGAGAGACTGGTTGTAAAAATTCTTTCCCAATTTTCTACCTTCCTTCTAATCTTAGTTGCATTGGCTTTGTTTGTGCAAACACTTTTCAATTTAATGTAATCAAAATGATCCATTTTGCTTTTCATAATGTTCTCTATCTCCTGTTTGGTCATGAATTCTTCTGTTCTCCATAGATGTGATAGGTAAACTATTCCTTGTTCTCCCAGTTTAATTACGGTATCGGCCTTTATATCTAAGTCATGAACCCATTTTGACTTTTATTTTGGTATATGGTGTGAGATTTGGGTCTATGCCTAGTTTCTGCCATACTCTTTTCCAGTTTTCCCAGCAGTGTTTTTCAAAGAATGGGTTCTTATCCCAGAAGCTGGGGTGTTTGTGTTTATCAAATAATAGATTAGAGAAATGCAAATCAAAACAATTCTGAGGTACCACATCACACTTATCAGCTTGGCCAACATGACAAAACAGGAAAATGATAAATGTTGGAGAGGATGTGGGAAAACTGGAACGCTAATACATTGTTGGTGGAGTTGCTAAATGATCCAACCATTTTGGAGAACAATTTGGAACTATGCCCAAAGGGCCGCAAAAGTGTGCGTACCCTTTGGTCCAGCAATAGCACTTCTAGGGCTATATCCCAAAGAGATCAAACAAATTGGAAAAGGACCCACATGTACAAAAATATTCATAGCAGCTCTTTTTGTAGTGGCAAAGAATTGGAAAATTGAGAGGACGCCCATCAATTGGGGAATGGCTGAGCAAGTTGTGGTATATGAATGTAATGGAATACTATTGTGCTATAAGAAATGATGAACAGGCTGACTTCAGAAAAACCTGGAAAGACTTATATGGTCTGATGCTGAGTGAAGTGAGCAGAACCAAGAGGACTTTGTACACAATAACAGTCAAGTTATACAATGACTAAGATTGTTAAACTGAACACTTCTCAGCATTATGAGGATCCAAGATATCTCCAGAGGCCTCGGGATGGAAAATGTGGTCCATATCCAGAGAAAGAACTATGGAAGTCGAATCACTCTCACTTATTTTTACCTTCTGTTGAGTTTTGTTTCATCCTTCTGATGGTTCCTCCTATTGGATTTAATTTTTACTTACAACTTCACTAATGTGAAAATATGCTTAATGGGTATGCAAATGTAAAGCCTATATCAGATTGTGCGCAGTCTTGGGGAGGGGACGGTGAGGAAAAGGGAGAAAAATTTTCAACTCAAAAGCATATGGAAAAAAAAATTTTAAAAATCACAAAATAATTAAAACGGTCAATGTGCTGCCCAATGTCACCCAACCTTTGGGGACAGAAAGGGGCCAAAAACCCAGGCCTGTGTTCATGCTCCCAGGAGAGTAACTAGCAGTTGTGCCCCTGTTACCTGGACAGGAGGAGGCTCCCAAAATGACCTCCTTCCCTTCCCCCAGAGGAGGAGTGCAAGGAGGAATGTTTGTCTTTATTTCTGTTTGCCAGAGCATCCACACGGGAGAATGGAAGGGCCTTGGGGGCGGGTCCTGTTTCCCTTCTGTATGGGGTTCTTGGTACCTAGTTCAGTGTCTGGCAGCCTGGCAGCACTGAGAGAGAGCTTGCTAATAAGTACATAGATGAGAGAGCATCTAACAAGAGGCTGTGCCACTGAGTGGAGGAGGTGGCTTCTGTGCAAACAGGCGAGGGCTCCTTCATGTCAGTCCAATTTCTCTCCCTTTTTTTAAAGAAAATTTTTCTAATCTCTTTTTTAAAGGGCGAGTGAGCCCTGTGGCTCTCACTTCTGGCCCACAGCTGAGGCTGCAGCTACATGTATTCAATGTGAAGGAGATTCCCAGTTTGGAGGAGTGCAGAGGCAGGTATCATTAATCCTCTAACAGGATCTGTGTGTATGTGTCTCTCTGTCTGTCTGTCTCTCCCTCTTTGTCTGTCTCTGTCTCTGTCTCTCTGTCTGTCTGTCTGTCTGTCTCTCTCTCTCTCTATCTCTCTCTCTCTCTCTCTCTCTGTCCCTGTCTCTGTCTCTCTGTCGCTGTCTCTCTCATTACTAAAAATGTATTCCAATCTGGTCTCTGCGTAATTCCCTGGATGACCATCGGTCATCATTTGACCTCTCTAGACCTCACTTTCCTCCTTTGTAAAATGAAGGTGTTTAAAAGATGACAATTAGGTCTCGTCAAGTTTTTCAGCAGATGTCTCCAAAATTATTTGGCTAACTGCCCCCTTTTCAAAAAAAAAAAATTACTCAGCGCCTCCCTGGAAATCTATTTTCATTAAACTTTATTTTTTTTAATTTGCATCATTTTAAAAAAACAAAAAAAATTTTGAAAAAATGATGCATTTTAAATTTAATAATTTATTTTAAATTCGTGTTTTTTTCCCTGCATTGAAATATTGATGACACAATATTGTGCCATAAAACCATATAGTATGTTGTAAACAAGTCATTAAATACACATATTCCTCAGATGCCTGCTGGACTTCCTGACATTGTTCAACATCCTCACCTGCCAACACTTGCGTGTTCAGACCTGTCAGGGAACTTGACTGCCGATCAGTTATAACTTGCATTTTTTGTGATTATTTGGAAAATAATGTAGTCAGTATGACTTTAACTCTGTTACACAACAGGTGAAACATGTACGAATGTGTTTCAGAATTTTCTTCTTGGGGCAGCTAGGTGGCGCAGTAGATGGAGGACCGGCCTTGGAGTCAGGAGGACCTCAGTTCAAATCTAGCCTCAGACACAAAACACTCACTAGCTGTGTGACTCTGGGCAAGTCACTTAACGCCAATTACCTCAGAAAAAACAAAAATGAAAACAATGTACTTCTTTCTTTATGTTTCAACTGCCCCTTATTTTTATTCAGTGCCCCCCAATTGCACCCTAGGCTGCTACCATCTGCCTGGATCGTTCCAGCGCCCCCAGAGGGCAGTATCACCCGCTTTGGGAGCTAGATCTATGATCTTATGCATGACCATGAACAAGCCCCTTCCCCTCCATAGGCCTCAATTTCCTCCCCTGTAAAAGGAGGAGGTTTTCCTAGATGACATTGTGAGGCCCCTTCCAGCCTAACTCCATGTTGCCCCTGCTGGGGCAGAGCAAAACGTCTGGGCCTCTCTGCTACCCCTCTGCTTCTCTCCCTCACTGTGGGTGCCTCTCTGGCCCTCCCCTCCCCTGTCTCTGCACCTTCCCATGCCCTGTCCTGCATTCCTTTATCCCTAGGGGGCAGAGTAGCACCTCAGGCCCTCTCTTCTCCTCCCCCTCTGCTCCTCTCCCTCCCTGCAGATTCCCCTCTGGCCCTCCCCCCTTCTCTCTGAACTTTTCCGGGCCCTGTCCTGCATCCCTTTATCCCTAGGGGGAAGAGCAGCATCTCTGGCCCTCTCTGCCCCTCCCCCTCTGCTCCTCTCCCTCCCTGTGAGTCCCCCTCTGGCCCTCCCCTCCCCCTCTCTCTACACTTTCCCATTCCCTGTCCTTCATCCAAGGTATCCCTAGGGGGCAGAGGAGCACCTCAGGACCTCTCTGCTCCTCCCCCTCTGCTCCTCTCCCTTCCTATGGGTGCCCCTCTGGCCCTCCCCTCCCCCTCTTTCTGCACTTTCGCATTCCTTCTCCTGCATCCCCTAGGGGCAGAGCAGCACTTCTGGTCCTCTCTGCTCCTCCCCATCTGCTCCTCTCCCTCCCTGGGGGTGCCCCTCTGGCCCTTCCCTCCTCTTCTCTCTGCCCTTTCCTCTGCCTTCACCTGCATCCCTTTATCCCTAAAGGTGCAGAGCAGGCTCCTTCCTTTCTGTCACTGGGGGACCTGGAAGCAGGGTGTCTCTGAGGGTCTCCTGAGAGAGATAGGCCTCATCTCTGATCCTTCTCCATCCTCTAGGTGAGAGGGTCAAGGGTCTGGGGTCTGGGGGAGAGGGCCCCAGAAGGAGCTTCTGGAGGCACTGAAGCCACTATGGTTGTGTTTCATCAGGGGTCTAAGTGCGAGGTGCTGCCTTGGGCCTCTTAGACCTGCTGAGTCCTTTACTCCGTGGCCCTGTGGGCCTTTGTCCAATCAGAAATGGGGAAGGGTGGTTTCTGTAGGGTATTTGATGTGTTCGATATGATATAATAACTAATATAATATTTGATGAGTAAATTTTGAGCTTAGCTGATTCATGGAGACTAAGTCAAGAAGTTATTAGTTAATGAAGAGCCTGGATTATCCCAGAGCTCACGAAGATAACAATTAAATAGGTCAAGTGGCAGGCCAGATGGTGACCTGGAGGACAGGTGGCTCTTCTTCATGACTCCCCCCAAAATGGCCACGCCACCAGGCCTCCCCCCCACCCACGTATCCAGGAGAGGGCCCGTTCTTCCAGGCCAGGACTTGGCCATTTTAAAAAAATATAAACACTCCCTGGCAGAGATGTCTCCTTCTCTTCCTTGCCTCTGCTGCCTCCCTCAGTCACTGCCCACATGGCATCTTGTTTAGGAAGCAGGGGATGTGCGGGCAAAGACTTGTGGCCCTGAAGGAGGGCCATCGCTTGGGTACAAGTGAGTGGGGGAGATGCCTGTGCCTACAAACAGGGGGTTTCATGGACATAGAAAGGAAAGCTGCACTGACTTGCAGGAAACGTCACCCTAACAATCAAGTCTGCTTACTTGCTCCCAGTTTTTCCCTCCTGTATTTGTATTTCTGAGTCAAAATTCTGTTTCGTACCTAGGCTCTAGTGAAAACCCATTCCTCTTCCCATCCAAAGAGGCCTCTTTCTGGATCATCGCCCACACGTCAAGTGGCTGCCCCTTCTGTGAGCCTAACAGTGCAGAACCAGCACCACAGGGACTCTTGACTGCCCTTTGTAAATTGGGGATGAGACACCACCCTTCCCGGTCCTTGACCCCTAACTTCTCATTATGAAAACCCCAATGATTTCTTAGTGGAAAAGGAAGCAGTTGGCTCAGGGCAATGCTCTCCTCTCATATTCTGCCCATGTTTATAGAGATGGGTTTGCATGCACATATATGTACACAGTCTTCTTTCTGGCTCTATCCCTTCTGCTAGCAAAAAAAAAAGTTCAGAGTCTGCTTTTGGCTACATGCAGGCTGTCCCAAAGGTCTTAGTGCAGATTTAAGCTCCAATTACATCAGATGCATAAATGTTACAAACTTTAAAAAAATAATTTGATATTTTAAAGTTTCTTTTACACTCATTTTGTTTTGTGAATTTTGAATAACAAAGTTTTCATTTAAATTTTGACGTGATGAGGGAATCCTGTAACCTCGAATTGCATTTAACATATTATTGATGCTACTTTCTCAGAGCTGTGGATAGTAAAGGCTATTCTCTTCCTTTGCCACCTTAATTACCTGATCTCTCTCTGCTAGTTTTTTTTTTTTCTGGGGCCATGTGAAAGCTGTCCTGTATGCATCAAAACTTTGCTCTTTGCATTATCTTCAGGCCAGGATTGCACGTGGAGTCTTTTCAATCATTGATCATCAGCTGATGAGAGTTTTTAGAAAGTTTGAAAATCAACCAATGTCCAGCTCATGATGATGGTTATGTTGAATTTTCACAGGAGACATAGCAATGTTTTAAAAATGAAAATAATCTTTCAAATGTTGTTTTTCATGAGTTTGTGGCATTACCAGCCTCTTAATCAGCTTTGTCGTCACACTCGTGTGCTTTTAGTGATGACGTGTTTTGTACTATCATTCCTAAGATTCAGGAGCTCACCCCAAAGCAGAGAGGAGAAGGATCCTGCAACCAATTATCGAAAATGAGTGCAGACGTCGAAATGCGCAGTGAAGAGTTCGATACCAATCAAGAGGAAGTTGATGAGAGGGCAGAGAAGCAAGCAGCAGGTGTGTTCTCCAAGGGGAGAAATGCAGTAGCCCAGGCAGCAGTTGCCGATTCTGAAATCCAGCAGGAAGAGGAGCCCCAGGGAGTTCAGCACCTAGTAAGGGGCCAGATGTGTATCCTTACCACCCCAAAATATTCATGGGGCTCAAGAAAAACAGGAGAAAGTATGACCGGAAAGGCAGGCTGATCTGTAATGGTATCGAACTGTGTGACTGCCTGCAGGTTGATTGTGCCGGCTGTTTCCACCCATGCCCCAGGTGCAACTCCAGGAAATGTGGAGTCAAGTGCCACCAGAATCTCAAGTGGGTTTATAACAAGGTGGAGGATGAATCTGGCAAGCTGGTCAATGCATTTCCCTTTGCATTTCCTGAATAAGGTCCTGGCGACACTGAGCTCCCCTTTCTGTCGAGGGTTGAGCTGGCTTTTTTTACAAATGAGTTTTAGGCCTTGGGCAAAGAGTTGGAATGGACGTAGTGTCAATTGATCATTCCAGCTTTGGGAACCAAAGCCATCCCCAAAGAATTCCATTATTTTAGGATTTTTTTTTTGGTGTGGAAAAGAGGGTAAGTCTTTCTTGCCCTACCATCTTTCCACCTTCAGCCACTTCAGATATGTCTTTAAAGTTTGAAAAAAAGAAAGGAGCCTCAATTTCGAAAGCCAGGAGTTTACTGTTCTTCATGTTGTCATTAGTGCTTGATGGTAAAAAACAAGCAAACAAACAAACAAACAAACAAACAGAAAACAACTTCAGTGTTAACTGCTACTGAATGTGATAATAAGATCATATCCACCATATGGTGGCAAATATTTGCTTGTAACAGTTTCATTTGTTGTTATGTTGTTGTATTTTGGATTCTTTCTGACTTCTCCAATTTAATCTTTCATGTTGAGTGATAGTAGATAAATTGTTAAGCTCTTCAGATGTTTTCATAGAGAAAATGGATAAGTATTGTTGAAGTAATAGCATTTAAAGACAAAAAAAAAATTTTAAAAAAACCATTTACAAATTCAAAGCTGGTTTTTAATGTCAAAGAATTCCCTTCAATTCGGAATCCAAGCACAGCTCTTTGCAACCATGTTCAATGGAGTACACCTGGGGAGGTAGGGACTCCCCACCATCAGGGTGAAGGGAAGAAAGATACCCCAAAAAGGTCACAATGAGTCAGATGTGACTGAACACGTGTGAACCAAACCATAGAAGCAGTCACGTGGTGCAGGGAATACAGTGGTGGGCCTGGAATCAGGAAGGCTCATCTTCCTGAGTTCAAATCCGGCCTCAGACACTAGCTGTGTGCCCTGGGCAAGTCACTCCACCCTGTTTGCCTCAGTTTCCTCATCTATACAATGAGCTGGAGAAGGAAATGGCAAACCACTCCAGTATCTTTGCTAATAAAACCTTAAATGGGGTTACAAGGAGGCAGAGGTGACTGAAAACAAGTGAACAAAATGAAAAACAAAAACAGGAAAGATCACATCTGGAGGGCAGGCAGGCCTGCCTTACCTAGAGGACAGCGTGAAACTTGGTCATCCAGCCAGAACAAGGGGACTTACCACCACCAGGTGCACTCTTCCCATTCAAGCTTTGCCTCTCAGGGAGAGCCCCCAAAGCTACATACATTTTCCCTTACTTGCTTGCAGAGGCCCAGGAGAGGGATGGAAATTGAATTTTTAATGGTTAACAAGTTCAGCTGCCTTCAGGCACACTGGTTGGTTTGTTTTTTATTATTATTGTGTATTTTTTAGGCAATTGGGGTTAAGTGACTTGCCCAGGGTCACAGAGCTAGTAAGTGTTGAGTGTTTGGTCTCAGGCCAGATTTGAACTCAGGTCCTCCTGACTTCAGGGCAGGTGCTGTATCCACTGAGCCACCTAGCTGCCCCTAGACTGTCTGTTTGGTAGCCCTCCTATCCTTCCTCCCATGCCTGCCAGCATCATTGGAAATGGGACCACGATGGGGGTCTCTGATGCGTTCCTACAAACAGCCTCCTGGAGGACAGCCTTGGGCAGAAACATCCTTGGCCACTACTATTATTGTTGTTGTTGTTGTCTCTAATTTTGGCTTTTATCTCCAAGTTTCAGCTGCTTTCAAGGCAGCCAGGTTAGTTCACATCCATTTCTTCCTCCAGTGACCTGGGTAGTCAGGCTCCTTAACCCCAATGCTGTCCCAACTTTGGGTGATAACACTGTGTGTTGGGAAAGGCCTCGTGGACTCAGAAGTGCCTGTGGCCTAGTTCCCTACACATACTATCACCTTTTTCTAGCCTTCTAAGGCTTCATCATAAGAAGGAATATGTAAAATTTACCAAATTAGTATTTACTGAGGAGCCCTGTTCAGATGGACCGGCTCAGCGTGGACACATTTCCTTATGTATAGCAAGTTATAACATTATGGGGTAACCTGTAAGTGCTGGAGAACATGTCTGGGTAGCTAGAGAACCAGAGAACATAAAAATGGGCGGAATCTTAGAGACTACAGTTGAACAAAGAACATAGAATGTCAGAGTTGGAAAGGACCTTGGAATAGTAACAACTGTTAAGGGATTTTAGAACAGAGGATGTTAGAGCTGGGAAGGACCTTAAAACAAACCATGTCAGAACTGGAAAGGAATTTAGAACAGACCATTAGTTTCAAACACAGAATGTTAGAAATGAAAGGGACTCTAGAATGTAGGAAGTTAAAACTGGAATGGATCCCAGAACACAGAATGTCAAATATGGGGAAGACCTTAAAAGAAAAAGGGGTTAGAATTAGTGGCGGAACTTTAGAACAGAGTATATTAGAACTAGATCTTAGAACACAGAACATTTGAGATCAAGTCCAAGCCTCTCATTTCCCAGCCAAAAAAGCTTAATTCCTGCCAGATGCCAATTCTTTTGATGGCATTGTCCCGTTTGGGTGGATTGAAGGACACAGCTATTTGGATCTCTTCTTGCTCGGTCTCCCAATTCATGGGGAGTCCTGTCATTTTAGGACTGTGATCGGGGTCTTGCCAGAAAAGCAGTGGCAGGAGGACTTTTCTACAAGAAAGTGGAAATGCTGGTGACAGCTTGGGAATTTCACTGCATTTTCTTACTTCTAAGAGGTATATTTGAAAGTTTTTAGGCACTCAGTTTTTAGAGGCCCCTTATGGCCATGGAAAGTTCTTATAGATAACCCAAGTTCTTCTTGCAGATAAGACAGGAGGAACAGCTCATCATTGCCACATATATGCATTGCCACATTCAAATAATGGGGTTCCAGGCAAAGCTGCAAAATTCTCACTCTTGTTCCCCAAATCCACTTCTCTCCGACACATTTTGTCATCGTGCTAGGGTCTTCTCTGGAAAGGGCACAGGAGCAGAATTTTGGAGAAGTTGATTCTGCCGATTGGGCCATTAACTCCCTGGCTGAGCTGGGGCTTTGCAAGGGATCATGGGATGTAGAGATATCACCTAGTTCCACACCCTCATTTACAGATGAAGAAAATGTGTCACAGGGAGGTGAAGGGACTTGGCCAACGTCCACAGGCAGGAGACGTGGATGGTTCAATTCCCTGTGCCAGGGAGAGAGATGGAAACCATGGAATCAGGAACCATCCAAAGGGAGGGGGCCACCCAAGCAGATGCACGGGCAAATCCACTGGGCGCACAAAGCCCTGTCTGGCCAGAGATGCTGCCCTCATGTCATTGCTTGGAGAATTTGGGGGGCTGGTCCTCAAGGCCCAGCTGTGGTGTCCAGGAAGCCTTCTCTGAGCCACTGCTTCAGCCTGAAGCCAGTCATGCCCCCCCTCCCTGTACTTTAGAGTTCTTTCATGCACACCAGGGATGGGAGAAAGAGTGGGAAGAGTGGAACAGTTGCTCACTTATCTAGGGGTCCCAGAAGGCTGTTCTTCTTGAATATGGGTGAAGCAGACCTGAATGATATTTGTGTAAGGGTCTACTTGCCCAAAAACAAATTAGCAGCTGACAAGATGCTCAGTGCCCCTAGAGCCATACCAGTCTGGGCAGGGAAACACCACCTCCTTCCTTCCTGTTTTGGAGAGGCTGGCTCTCACCTGAATTGCATTTTTTCCACATGTGTCAGAGTCCTTCACCAGTCGCTGTTCCTAAGGATCAGCACAAACATGCCTCAGTTTCCCCATGTTGGTCAGCAAAAACCCAACCCACTCCTGTTTCTTTCCTGTAACCTCTACAGGGCGGCTGAGGCCGTCCAATACGTATGGATGACAGTCACCTAGCCACAATACCAAATCTTTCCTCTCGAATCAAGGAGGCCCTCAAAGTAAACACTAGGCCAGGAAGGAACCTGAAGAGAGCGTCCACTAGAGTACCCCACAGCCCCAGGCAGCACAAAAGGAAGAATTGTCCATCTTATAAGAGCCTTTCAATTGTTGTTCTTACCTCCAGGCTCCTCTCTCCAGATCCTGTTATTCCCCTGCTCAAAGACCTTCAGTGGCTCCCTGTTGCCTACATGATTAAGTACAATCTGCTGATCCTAGTATTCAACACCCTTGACAATGAGACTCCAGACAATTCCCCTTCATGTCCACTATGCTCCAGCCAAACAAGACTGCTCTCTGATTCTTGACCTTGTTTTGCCCTCTCCCCCTTCTGTGCCTTTGCTCATGGCATCTTCCATCTTGGAATAGAGCCCCCCACTGAAGTCTCTCCCTTCCTTTGAGAATTCACTCAGACGCTATCCTCCCTCTACAAGGCCTTCTCTGATGGCCTACGTGAATGCCTTCCTCCTCAGGTTTCTTGAAGCACTTTGCCTGACTCTCCTTTGCATGATGGTAACTTCTGTGCTTGGCCCTTCCCCAGTGGAGTGTTGGATTTTTAGAAAAGAGCCTAAGTGGTGTCTAGCATTGTGTGTCTGGCACCCAGCATAAGTACAGGGTTTGCTTCATTGAACCCAACCAGATTGATAATTCTCTTCCCTATTCCTGTCCACCAGTGGTGCCATCGTCTTCCCACTAACTCAGGCTCATGGCGCAAGTGTCACACTTGCTGCCTCTCTCTCTCTGT